AATTTCCTTGTTGTTATTATAATTGGCTAAAAATCATTTACTATTTATGTCCCATCTCCTCTCGTCAGACCCCTCCCCCCAAAAAAGAAAAAACCCTTACACCTTTATGACAAGATCTAAATAAAAATTTGTTAATAAAATTTATAGGTCTTTTTTCCCAAGTCACAATTTGCAATTTATATCCAAATTGCTTTTACTAGTTTGCCAGTACATGTATATATCACTAAGCTGTATCCATTATCATTTCATTATTGTTATTATAGTTAATTATTTGTTAATGAACTTTGAATGGTCACTAAACAAACTGTAGTAAGTCGGGGAGGAATCTAAAAGTTTGCAATTAATACCAGGGGGCTTAGACATTTGCAAGAAATTGCAATTGGTAATGGTAATTTTTAGATATACAATTACGGATCACCTTTACTTTCTTTTTATGAACTAGATATTGCTAATCATCAAACTGTTCTGATGATTAACAGGGCAGTAAAATGATTATTGTAATACGGTTTCACACAAAGCCTTTTAGGAAGATGCTGCAGAATAAAGTGTTATGTGGCATTTATCTGAATTCACTCTGCATGGTTTCATGGAAATAGCTAATTGTACAGAGATAAGCTGGATAATGTGATTTTCCAGCATATGGAAAGTCTTTAAAGCAGCCTTTGATTTTTTCTGGAAGAAAGACCAATTCTAAACCCCTGCATCAGCACCAGCACCAATATTTATACTCTTGATATGACAGATAAACACATTTTTTTTAAATGCCCATATCCAAGTCCTCTATTGATTCCTTTCTGTGTTTCCCCCATAATCTCTTTATTTCTGGTGTTCAGAAATGAGTTCCCTGACTTAGGTAATCATACTAGCACCATCTGCACACAAGAAGAAAGAAAGCATCAACAGATTGGGGAAAACATCACAATTTAGCAAAGTAAAGATAGAAAGATATTTAAAGAAAAAAGCCCTAAACTGAAACTGTGAAGCAGATAAATTAGGACCGAGCATGCTCAGTGGTAAATGGAACACGGATTGACAGTGGGTGGGAAAGGAATGGAGAAATCCACCCGGCAACAACACTGAATTCTGGTTAAATTTTATTTTTAGGAATGCTAAATTCACAGTGAACCACCAGCTAAAAAAACAGGGCCCATGTGGTGAAGGAACCTAGAAGGTTCCCCGATTAGCAAGATGTGTGAAATGAATCAGTATAAACAAAACTAAACATAGATGCTCCGTTAAGATTTTCACTTAAATAACTGCACTCATGCCTGAGGAGAGGGGGGTGCAGCCGGTACATTGTTTGGGGGCCCATGGAGCTCAAAGGGGGGCCATGAAAGGGATTTTTTTTTAATTTTTACAAAACCAATTTTTTTAAAAGAAAAACAATGTTGGATATATATTTCAGACTTTGCGTGAACAGTTATTTATGTAATTTATTGAATTTTAATTTCATTACTTATTTATTTAAGTTTTCAAGTTTAGTTTCATTTCATTTATGAATATATTTCGTATTTCATTTCAGTCTATGACTGGTGATCAAATGTCATCTCAAAACTCTGGAGCTTAAAAACGCTGTACATTGTAAATGTACAATTATGACACCGTGAGAGAGAGCCACGGTGGCACAGTGGTTAGAGTGCAGTACTGCAGCCTACTTCTGCTGAGTGGCGAATGCCGGCATTTTGGCTGTTCAAATCTTACCAGTCCCATGGTTGACTCAATCTTCTTTACCCTCCGAGGTTGATAAAATAAGCCACTGAGCCACAATGGTGCAGTGGTTAGAGTGCAGTACTGCAGCCTACTTCTGCTGAGTGGCGAATGCCGGCATTTTGGCTGTTCAAATCTTACCAGTCCCATGGTTGACTCAATCTTCTTTACCCTCCGAGGTTGATAAAATAAGCCACTGAGCCACAATGGTGCAGTGGTTAGAGTGTAGTACTGCGGGCTATTTCTGCTGGCTGCCACTGCCTGCAATTTGGCAGTTCAAATATCACCAAGTTCAAGGTTGACTCAGCCATCCATCCTTCTGAGGTGGGTAAAATGAGGACCCAGATTGTTGGGGGCAAGAGGCTGACTCTGTAAACTGTTTAGAGAGGGCTGTAAAGCACTGTAAAGCAGTATATGTCTAAGTGGTATTGCTATTATTGATTTATGTGTCCAGGTTTAGGTGAGGGGGCCCATACTAATCTTGTTCCAGCACTTAATAATCCTCTTGACTGCACTGCACTTTGATAAAATACATTTCAATCATATATTTGTATGTCCATCTTTGGCTAAGTTGTTCTCAGTTATTTCTGTCTCCTGGTATTCATGGAGGAGAAGAAAAAGAATTTTTTTTTCTTTTGCAATGAAACTGTGTATCTAAAATATGAAGACTCCTCTTTCAGCGAGAAGAGAGTCTGAAAGTCAATAGCATGGGCCCAGAGGTTGTAAAGAGGCTTCAGATGTAGGTGTCTATGGATGTTCTCGGTCATCCAAGTCATGGTGGTCCCACAGGTGTGTTCCCTCCCCCTCCAAAAAAAGGAAACTGGACTTTCTTTGTTTTTGCTTGAAGACGTTTCGCTTCTCCTCCATGAAGTTATGGCTGAATGGTGGACGGAATGTTATGGAATGATGTCTTCCATTCTGCTCCCTCATCATTTCTTCATTCCCACCAAATCCTTCTATTTCCCCCTTCCCACCATTCAGTTAGAACTTCTTGGATAAGAAGTGAAACATCATCAAAAGGAAAAAAGACAAACAAACGAAGTCCAGTTGCCTTTTCTAAAGAGAAAGAAGAAGAACCTTCTAGACTTCTATTGTAGAGTCTTCAAGAAGGTTGGTACAAGAGTTATGGAAAAGATTGAAAACTACACTTGAATCCTAGAAGCTTACTAAACAATGGTGACGAGCTATATAAAGCTTTGCCTTATTGGCTTCTACAGGTAGTCCTTGACTTATGAGCCCAAAATTTCTGTTGCTAAGCAAGACAGCTGCTAAGTGAGTTTTGCCCCACTTTACGACCTTCCTTGCCACCGTTATTAAGTGAATCGCTGCAGGCTAGATTTGCTTGTCAGAAAGTCACAAAAGTTGATCACATAATTCCAGGGCACTGCAACCGTCATAAATGTGAGTCAGTGGCCAAGCATCTGAATGTTGATCATGTTGACTGTGGAGACTCTGAAATGGTCGTAAGTATGAAAATTGGTCATAATTGGTCAGGTCTTTTTCAGTGCTGTTGTCACTTTGGATGGTCACTAAACAAACTGTTGCATGTCAAGAATTATCTGTACTTTTGTCCAAGGTTGTTGCTACTACAAAACCTCTATTCTCTTTCTTGGCAATTTTTGTGATAGCAGCCTCAGAGACTGCCAGCAATGCATGGGTAATAATTATTCCTTTTTTTAAAAAATTACCAAGCATGTCAACATAAAATTCTTTCTCACCGTGACATTTTTCTTGTTTAAGAAAGAAAAATATCAGATAGAACAACTTAATTATTGCATATTAAAGACACTGCAGGTTTGCAGATGTTTAAATTATGTCTTTTAATAAAATTCATTATGTGAAAAGATGCTACCAGTCTCCTTTTAATTGGTGGCTGCCGTAAAAGACAAGTTTATTTTCAGTTCAGCCACCTGTGGATAGCTATGTTCTTACCTGTAAAACAACACGTTAAGTGGATGTTATATAGATATTTATTGCTTCTTGCAGGACATCCTAAACAAAAGCCTTCCGTTCCAAGAAATGGATTTTCTGCTAAACCAGATTTGCAGACTCGAGAGCCAGAACGGCAGTTCATCCAGCAGATGAAGGATAGGTGTGATGAACTAGTCAGAAAATTCAATTGTGTCCAAGAAGAACTCAAGAGGACAAGATGTGGCTTTGATGTCTTTGTTATAACGACACAGTTTTTCTTTCAGAAGGTAAGTAGCAACCAATGGCTTCCCTACATTACCAACCAGCTTTCGGAGAAATCACAATGATTCTGTTATGGCAAAGGCAGAAGAACGTAATATTAATATGATTTGGTCTACATCAGTCGTTATTAGGAGAAATGAAAAGACACGGAGAATAGTTTTAGAATAGGTGTCGAGGGGTCACGGCCCGAGGGCCGGATCCAACCCACGGGGTGTTTAGATCTGGCTCGCGGGACTGCCCTGTAAGCAGCAAAGGGTTGGCCCACAGTGCCTCTGCCAGTGAAAATGGCGCTCGGAAGGGCCACCCGTGGCCCTCCCGAGCTCCATTTTCATTGGCAGAGGGTTGCAGGAGGCTGTTGCCGTCGAAAACGGAGCTTGAGAGTCTGTTTTCGCTGGTAGAGTGCTTGGGCCTCCACAGGCGCCTCCAAAACGAGTGACATTGAGTTGGCCACACCCACCCTGGCCCCCCTAAGGTCAAACACAACCCTGATATGGCCCTCAATGAAATTGAGTTTGACACTCCTGGTTTAGAAAGGACAATTTTTACTATGACAACAAGACCTCTGTCATTAGTATTTAGACAAGAATGTGTACATAATCCAGTGTATTTTGGATGCATACCCAAACTGTACAGATCTAAACAGAATTTCTCTGGAAAATAAAAAGAGCATGACAGAGGTCCTTAGCAGTGTCTTAATCGCTATGTCTTTAATTTGTATTTCTATCAGTTGCTACAACAATATTAGGCTATCAGATTGAGTATCATTGAAGATAGGCACGTATGAGTTGCCAAACCTGCCCTATCAGCGTGAAAATAATATCAGGGGCAGAATATTCTATTAGTACATGGATATTCTAAATAATCTTGAACTTCATTTGTGTGGATACATACAAAACTGTGTTTATTTGGGTGATGGGCACATTCTTCTCAATATTACATGAATGGGTACTGTTGTATTCTTCATTAATCTAAAAGTGTATTAGTTGCCAAACCTGCCCTATCAGTGTGAAAATAACATCAGTGGCAGAATATTCTATTCGTACATGGATATTCTAAATAATCTTGAACTTCATTTGTCTGGATACATATAAAACTGTGGGGGTTTTTTTGGATTTCTATGTGTCTATGTATTCACACACACACACACAAACACACACACACACACACACACACACACACACCCCTCTGTTGGGAGGGAATGGAAATTCACACACCCCTCTGTTGGGAGGGAATGGAAATAACAGAATTCCTGGGTGCGCTGGCCTTGGTGCTGCATATGCAGACATACAGTAACAATAAGCAGAGTAATATGAATGATGATTTTGAGTGGTAGGAAATATTGTAATAAGAAATATTGGTTTGAAAATCAGTGAAGAAAATATTGTGGCCCTATTGTCAAGCAGCACAATTAAACTTATTGGGGAAATCTATATGTTAGATGTGATAATACTGACATCTATTGGCAATGGAGTTAAAATTGCATGGTAGGTAAGCAAAGGATACCTTCCTGGTACTAAGTGAGCCTTTAACTTGTCCTTTTCACTGGGGTAAATTAGGCTATAATATTTAAGCTTTATAATGTTATCACCTGAAATTGTTGCAGTTATGATTGTTTTTATTGCTATTGATATTTTAACATGAACAAGATTTTTATAGAGGATCCTGAAGATATAAGTGCTACCACCTGTTAGGAAAGTAGTTATTAAGGAGGATGGGTCAGGCAGAATTTACTCCATATCAATGTTACAGGTCGGAGTCAGATATTTTGTGTTCTTTGTTTTAAAGTCTCATAATTATAATTTACAATTACTGCACATGTGTACCATAAGGTATTTTTTAAATCCACATAACTATCCAGCACTTGCTTCTAAAAATTACAAGGTCCCCAGTGTGTTTTTCATATGCAACTTTATATTTACAAGTGTAGATTATTTTTCATGTCAGATAATCCATGCCTTATGTCATATGCTGTCATATGTAGTATGCTGTTAATAGTCAAACTGTTTAAATCACATTTAAATGTTGGATGGATTTTTTAAATATCTACAGTAATGGTAGGAACATTGGGAGGCAACATATGTGAGATCAATCTTTGATTCTACTAGATCACCAATTTGAAATAAGGGGCTCTGGAACACAGCTCAAAAGACCTCTTGTCTCAACAATAGTTTCTTCCTAGAAAAGGAAAATTGGAGAGTAGAATTGTGGCTGCTTAAATTACTTAAGGTAAAGGTTCCCCCTGCACATACTGTATTTGCTAGTCATTCTCTACTCTAGGAGGCAGTGCTCATCTCTGTTTCAAAGCTGAAGAGCCAGCGCTGCCTGAAGATGTCTCCGTGGTCATGTGGCCAGCATGACTAAACACCGAAGGCACACAGAAC